AATAATTTAACAATATAATGAATTTTATAACTTAAATATTTTTAATTACAAATTATTTATCATCCAAATTATTATTTTATAAAATACATCAAAAAATACAGCCTCTAGGCCTTGTCATCAAAGAAAACTAAGTGTACTCCACTAAGAAAACCACTAAAAGTTGAACATGCAACCCCAACTATTAGATTCTCTCAAATAAGTCTGTCTCAAAGTCACAATAAAAGACTAAAACTATGATTCTAGTCAGTGAAGGACAGGGGTATGACATCATGGACTATAAAAATGCTATCATGATTACTTGTCTAAAAAATATTTAACATTTGATTGTGTTTTGTGCAAGTTAACTGAGGTTTGGGAAAGACATATTTGATGCTGTCTGCCAGACGACTTTGTTGGGAGGCTTGTTTATTTTGCTGAGTTAGTGCTTTGTAGGATGTGATATTCTGATCAGTAGTTGGATATTTGATATTCTGATCAATAATTTGAGGATATTTGATGTTCTCATCAGTATTTAGAGGATATTTGATATTCTGATTAGTAGTTCTACTTTTTATGTTGGATTGCTCAATGAATTGCATTTGACTATTAAAATGTCCACTTTTAAGAACTCATTCCCTATAACATCATGAAAAACTAGAAGGTCGCTATGCGGGAATGGAGACATTTGAACATCTTCCTCTTGAACCATGATAACTTGGGCAGACCCAAAAAAATCATATTTTTGTTGAATGGTCCACTGAACATAATAAAAAGCATATTCATGTCGTACTTACCAAAATAAAATAAAATAAAAAATTATGTATTATCTTATTATCCTATAAAAGATGAAACATGTAATTACATCTAATATAAATGCAGTTGGTATTCTGAAGAGAACCCAACCTGGCTGCTCTGTAGAACCTAGATTTTGGGTTCTCACGGGAACTTTGTTGAGAGAGAGGAAAGAGAAAGAGGGAGGAAGAGAGGGGAGAGGAAAGAAGGACAGAGGTAGAAGATGATTTATG